TCATCCATGTGGTACTAATTTATGGGCTTGCAGAATGCAAGAGTACAAGGTCATGGAGGCTTCCATCCAGATTTCAGAAGAAGGCTTGGGAGGCCAGGCAAGGAGGCCCTAAGGGAGCAGTGCATGAAGCTGTGAGAATAAAGCTCAAGATGCAGCAGAGATCCCAGAAAGTTGCAGAAACCGGGAATGTAGAACATCTGAGGAAAGCCGCAAGGAGTGAGCAAAGCCAGCCCAAGACAGAAGCCATGAGGGCTACAACTATCAATATCATAAAGGGCAGGACCACTCGAGTCATTTGGAGTTCATGTCTTACCTCAGCTTGCCCTGGGTGCTGGACACAGAGCCATGGGGTTTAAGGCTTGCCCTGCTGGGTTTCAGTCTTGCTTTGGTCTCATTCCTTTCTCTTCCCTTTCGTCTTTCTTTTTGAATGTGAAAGTTTACCCTGTGCTATTGTATGTTAGCAGTGTTTAACTTTTATTTTGATATTTACAAGGGCTCAAGCTAAGAGTTGCCTTAATTCACAGAGGAGACTTTGGACTTGGATTTTTCAGCAATGCTCAAACTAGGAGGACTTTGGCAACTCAGAGATAAACTAAAGCATTTTGCATAAAGGGATGTACATGAGTCTTATGGGGGCTTGGGGCAGAATGTTATGGTTTACATCCAGATCCCCCCAAGAGCCTCATGCACTCATAGGTGGGACTTCTGGAAGGTAAGCGGATTATTGGGGTTTATAGTTGACTTGCCATTAGGAGGTGGGGTCTGGCCAGAAGAGGTGGGTATCTAGGGAGCAGACTGGAAAGTAAACCTTTTAGAGTTTTCAATGATACAAACAGCCTGCTTGGGCACATGTGCCATACGTTTGGCACTGCTGGTTTACTACATTCCTGGCTCCTCTCTCTGCTTTCTTTTTCCTGTCTGCCACGTCATGAGCAACTCTCCTCTGCCATGCTGCCCGCCTTGAAGCCAGCTGACCATGGACTGAAACATAAGCTAAAATAAAATTCTCCTTCCTTAAGTTGTGGGTGTCAGGTATTTTGTCCCAGCAATGACAGGTTTGATATCAGGCATCCAACTAGAAAAATTACAGCTAGTAGTAACTATCTTGACAAGCCAGTGGGTCAATTACTCACATATGCTCTTACAACCATCCCCCAACTTGCTTATGGTCATTTCCATTTCACCAATGTACAATATAGGGTCAAACAACCTGCCCAAGGTTCTGAGCTAAGAGGTAGAGGTAACACACACACAGACACGCGCACACACACGAATAGAAGGCTGCTGGCCAGCCCTGGTTTAAAATGTCTCAAGAGTGAAGACAAGGCACGCTAATATCATTACAAGCCTCATGAAGGCTCCAATCCCTGAGGCTCCACGATCATAGGATAGAGGTTCTCAACTTTTTTTGATATTAGGATCCCTTTCTGTGCAAAAATGGATGAGCATTTCCAATTATTTCTGTAAACATGGGCTATACTACTATGGCATCTTACTAGGAAAAAAGGCTAAGAAAATCTGAAAACATTCATGAGGCTGATACACCTAAATAACAAATTTTTATGAAAAATAACCGTTTTTAAAAACAGAAAGTAGCATTATATTACATCTTGAAAAATCCCTGTAATATATAACTTAACAGAAGATAAGAAAGCTGAGCTCTCATTTGCTTGTGTATGTATGAGCTGCTATATCATACATTATACAACCTCTGGAAAAAAAACTTCACTGTTTTCCATGTGAGAATGAGAGTAAGAAAAGCAAATATAGGGGTTGGGGGCTTAGCTTAGTGCTTCCGCCACCTGCCTTGCAAGCACAAGGACCTGAATTGGATTCCCAGTACCAAAAAAAAGCAAACATGGGGTTCGAGGTTCAGCTCAGTAGTGAGTGCTTGCCGACCATGTGCAAGACCCAGGGTTCCATCTCCAGCAGCAGCAGCATCACCATCATCACCATATCATTATTATTATGAAAACCACCTTGAACTCGTAGCCCCTGGAGATGTTGGGGACTCCCATGGACTGCCTTTGAGAATGGCTCTCGTGTGTTATACCCTGAGGACCAGGAGCCCAAGGACACCACATCTTCAACTCATTATAGACCTGTGATGACAAACCTCTCAGAGCTTTCAATGATAATGAACAGCACAAATGCCATAGGTTTGCCACCACTGTTATAGACCGTCAGGAGTTTACAGCAGTTTCCCGCTACAGAGCACTCTGAATGTAGAGAATGCCAGGTCTGAAAGGCTGGATGGTAGCATCGAGACTCAAATGCCAACCAAGGTCAAGGAGTACCTGAAAGGGAGGAAGCAGGCCACGTCCTGAATGACATAGTGGAGACTATGGTGTCCAGGAGGGTACATGGGCTGTTTCAGCCCCAGCAAATCGTTACTGTGCAAGAAGGGGTCCTGGTTTTCAAGAAAAATCCGAAGTCTGTATGCTTTCCTCTGATACCTCAAAAATTTAAAGCACTGGCTCCTAATTGAAGATACACAAAGGGAAACCTAAATGGCTCCAATTAAACGTATCAGCTTGCCACTCAGGTTTGTGATTTGTTTGTGGTTTTTCACTTTGGCTTCACATCATAAAACATCTGTGGAGCTTTTAAGACTACAGATGCCCTAGACCTCCAGCAACCATTTCAGATGGGGTGGCCCAGGCAGTAGCTCTTATTTTCCTTAAAAAAGGGGACACTGCATAGCCATGGCTAAGATCTGCAGTGAGGACAGGACAGGGGCACTGAGTGCCAAAATCACCAAAGAGAAAGCAAACTGGGGAGCTACAGGTGTTGGAGGGGCACCTTTACACTCATGACCTACACCATACAGTTCTTCAGGAACCACATGAAGACCACTGCAGAGCTGGCCAAAAAAAATTCCCTTAAACTAGAACAAAGAAACTCCACTGCTACCACCACATCTAAAGCAGGCAAGGATACAAACCTGTTAGCTGTCCAATGGCCTCAAAGTACCATGGAGAGCTACCAAGGCACTGCTAAGTCAACTGAGTATCAGCCACCTCTGCCTGTGCCTGTAGTTTTCCTGTATTCTCTTTTCAGACTCCCCAAACGCACCCTATCTCCTCTCCCCCTAATTCCTAGTGAGCACACAAGGGTAACAAGACTGCTGGGCTAATTCCAGTTTCCTGTGAGGCTGGCTAGAGACTTGGATCAAAGTTTTGCAAACTATAAGCTTTTCTCTCTGCACACAGGATCCTGGGCAAAACTTAAGTTTTCTTCCTAGTGTGTAACAGTTTTGCAGGCTCTGAGTTGTCACGACACCCTCAATGACCACCAGGCCACATCTGCTATAGACAGAGGTAGCACAGTTGAGTCCGAGGCACTCAGAACAAATGATCTGGTCTCAGGACAAGTGAGCATCAACTTCCGTCATAAATTCATGAAAAATTTCAAACATTTGTTTTTCATTTACTCTCAATATTAAATGTAAAACAGAGAGGGCCAGGGATTTAGCTCAGTGGTTCCACCGCATGCCTAGCAAGTGCCAGGACCAGAGTTTGATCCTTAGTACCAAAAAATTTAAAATAAATAAATAAATAAATAAATAATTAAAGTAGGGAAAGGCGGTGGTGAGAAATTAGTGAACTGATTCTAAGCATGTGAGTTCTAATCAATAAAAACTCCACTGTATTCCTGAAGTCAACAAGAAAGGTGAAAATTGAATTGAAAATTTCTGTACTCATACCTAGCCAGGCTAGATTACTGTTCTCAATTTGGGGCAATTTTGCCCCCAACGAACACAGGGTTTAGTGAGCAGACACCTCCGTCGTCCTCTCGGGATGAGGGAGGCACCATCAGTGTCTCACAGGCCAAGATCGGGGATGCTGAGCCAGAGCCCGCGTGCACGGGGCGGCCCCGCCACCATGAAGGATTTGCACCCGAAGGCAGAGCATTCACCCGAGGAGAGGTGGACAGGGCTGGAGGGGACCCACACCCTGCTCTCTCCTGCACCCGTCCCGGGCTCCCCGGGGCCACCTCCGAGAGCAGGGCAGACCCACTGCACCACTGACACTCGCTCCTGGCTCTCTCTTTGCCGAACACGGGAGCCAGTCGTGTCCAGAACAATGTCTGCTGTGTACGCAGCCTCCGGAAATCCCAGTGTGGACCCCGTGGGCTGAGATTGGTGCCCACAGCACCCACGAGCCAGGCACTGTGTTCAACATTTCCATTTTAAGGGTGAGGAAACTGAGGCCCCGGTCACCCAGAGTACACAGCAGAGTCACAACACAAGCCCAGTTCTCCAGAGGGCAGAACTTGTGCCCACCACCTTACACCAGTGAGTTACACCCAGGGGCGACTCTCCCCCACCCCCCAAAAGGTGGCTAGTATGCAGCATATTTGGTTGTCACAACCCCTGGAGTGTGGGCGAGGGCGTGTGTGCTACTGGCATCTAGTGACTAGGTGTGGGGATGCCACTATGCTGCTAAATATACTATAACGCGAGCACAGCTGCTTCCCCAAGAGAGATTACTCAGCCCCGAAGATCAGTGGTGCCCAAGTTAAGATTCCCTGCTTTATCCTGTCCCTGGGTCTCCCCTGTGTGTGTCCACAGCCTGCAACTTACTTTACCTCTTAATGCTGAAATCCACAATCCAAGATTCCCAACAGTTCAAATACACTATGCTCACTCTTTTCCCCCTCTACATTTACAGAGACGATACTCCGCCTCCAAATCTAATTCAGGCTATAACGCAGAGTAACAGCAGAGACAAGGTGATTAATGAGTTTGGGAGGTTCCAGAGTGCGATGCCATACAAAAGAGAACATTTTTGAACTCAAGCGTAGAACACACACATATTTCTAGGAGAAGCATTCCAACTGCACTGTAAAAGCCATAGACTGCAGGACTGCTAAGAAAAAGCTACAAAAGCTGCTGTCCTCATCCAGGAAAAGCAATTACCATGGCAACAAGGGCCAAGAAGATGCAATATTGGGTGTCTAACTTAGAAGCTTTTTGCATACAACACAGCAGACCTCACCTGTACTACTCAAGTCAGCGCTTCTCAACCCTGGCTGCATATCCGAGACCCCACACCTGTGGCTTTAAGCGAACTCCCTAGGTGGTTCTGCTGCCCAGTCAGGGTGGACAGCCACTGCTTCAGACAGACACAGAGATGGGTTCCATCCAGTGCAGAGGGGCAGCTTAGGATCCCAGTCTGAAAAGGCAGAAGTCAAAAGGGCATTTGACTGGAGTTTAAACAGCAAGAGAAAGACATGGCTATGGGCTGGCCCTAAAGTTTCAAAACACACAGGCCAGGAAGTTCTTCTTTATACAGTGGATAAGAAATTAGACATCCTACAGGCCATGCATGTCCAAAGCAAGAATAGTCTTCTAGAAACACTCAATGCCAGATTAAAGGTGCTGGGATATCCAAGGTACAGAAATTCACTAAGACTTTATCTGAGGATAACTGTCACAGAACTATCACGGACAAAATGCCAGATGACTGTGGCATACTTAAGTAAGCATTACAATTTAGTACCAAGCATTCCATTTCTGCCTCACACTTACCCTTTCAAACTGTGCAATTTATAAGGTACAGCTCATGTATACTGTGCCACAAACAGTAATCCCGGAAAACAGCAGACCATACTGTCTGTGCTCGAAGGCCTCCCTCACAGTAAGGGTTCTCACTGGGGAATGCATCCATTCGTTCACTCAGGCCTTCCTTTAACATGCATTTCTCCGACACCTACTCTGTGCCAGGCACTGTTCTAGAAGTAGGGATCCAACAGCGATCAGGGCAGATAACCTCCTACTCTCACGGAGCTTATGCTCTGTCAGGCACATCTGGCATGCTGGGTGGCAATAGGGGCTGTAGAATAAAAGGAGGGTAAAGGGGACAGAAAATGCAGTGGCCAGAGAAGTCCTCAATAATAAAACAATATGTAAAAACCTGCAGGTCATCAGCCAGCCGTGAGGTCAAATGTTTCAGGCAGAGGAACCAGCAGAGAGATTGAGAGGCTGAAAAGAGGGAGTGCAAGGCCCATTCCAGGCTCACTGAGAAAGCCTGGGCCGATATAGTAAGGACTAGGAGAGCGTGGTAGGAGAGGAGAGCAGGGAGTAATCAAGGGGCTACTGTGGCTTCCAGGTTAAGTTGTCAGATGGGTAAGGAAGTCCTAATGAAGGCAGTGGAGGTGGTGAGAAGTGGTCCCTGTCTGGATATGTGTCTGAGATACAATCAATCGACAGAACTTGGTGTGAGGTGTGAAAGAGAGGAATCTCCAGTGACTTCGAGGTTTCGGGTGTGAGCAACTCAAAGAATGGACTTGCCATTTACTGCAATGGGCAGAGGGCTGTGGGATGAGCAGGTGGAGGGAGGGGAAGTAAGACCAGGATTTTTGGGGGGGACTCCCAAATGGGAACATCTAATATGACGCTGGATGCACGGCTCTGGTGTTCAGAAGCGATCAGGGCTTAAGATGTAAATAAATAGTGGGTGTCATACAGATTCCCACTTAGCCAATCCCTCTGTCCCCACTTTCCACTTCCAGTAAGGCCTCTTTACTTTATAAAAGAATGGCCTCTGGGGCCAAACCACCTTGGTTTACATCCCTGCTCCAACCTGGCTGTGTGACTTGCCCTGGGTAAGGCAGGGCACCTTCTTGGTAAATTAACTGCTCTAAGTCAGTTTTCTCAGCAACAGAACAGGAGTTAACAGTACCTACCTCACGGAGCTTTTGTGAAGAGTATTATGGGAGATGACAGTCCGGACTTGGGGGAGGGGCGTTATTCTTTTTTGAGAGTGCGTCTCGCTATGTATTCCAGGCTAGCGTTGCGCTTACTATTTAGACCAAGCTGGCCTCAAACTCACCGTGATCCTCCTGCCTCAACCTCTCCAGTGCTGAGATTACCAGCAGTACATCCACTCTGAGCAGCACTTAGCACCATCCCAGAGGCTCTCCAAGGCCCAGAAAACATACTCGGACTATTCATGAGTCGGGTGCCACTCAGTACCGTATAGCAGGAAGCATCGCTGGGGGAACCCAAGGCAGGGGAGACGCCTGCAGTTGTGCACCCAGAAAAAGAGGCGGCTAAAAATAGGGCTTCGGAAGTCCTCAAGCTACAGCCAGAGTGGCATAACTGTGGACGGCAGCAGCCATCAGTGCGTCCCCTGGGGGATCTGGAAGTGGCACTTTGTCACAAACGCTCAGGTGAGATGTCAGCGGGGGGGTGCCATGGCCTCTCTCAGGAAGTACAGCCCAAAACGGGGGCGGAGTGGGGAGAGCGCAAGAAGCGGCCAGAACTGTCGGCAGCTCGATCCTGCGACCAGGCCCCAAGGAGGGGACCCGGGGCGGGTGCGGGCGGGAACAGGGTGCCAGGCTCGGGCGGGGGCGGGGTGAGCGCGGCTCGGCCTCCTCCGTGCTCTGCTCGGAGGCCCCACGCGCGGGGAGGAGGGGATCGCGCAAGATGAAAGGAACGGGCAGCCAGGGAAGGGGGCGCCGGGTCCCCGAGACTGAGGGAAAGGAGTGAATGAGGAGCTCTCGGCCCGGACCAGGCCCCGAGATCTATTTACATTCGAGGCCGAAGCGCCTCCCGCCCCCTTTCGCCCTGGTTCCGCCCTGCGAGGCGGGAGGGCCTCTGGGTGTTCTCCCGGCTCTTCTAGCTCGTCGGTGGCAGAGACCGGTGCTGCCGCCGGTGATGGGCCAGGCCGGCGAGCCCAGCCTGAGGGGGCGCAATGGGGGGCGCCTGCGGGCCGCGCTGGGCCGCTAGGGCGCAACGGACGGGACTCCTGCACTCCCGGGGGCTCATCCCTCGGGCCTCTGGCCTCTAGGCCTCCCGCTGCCCGTTCCCGGCCGTCAGCTGTCCCCAGACGATGCCTCCCCTACCTTCGTTCGCCAGGTCCGCCATTTTACTTCCTTAAGCCCTCCCACAAGGCCCCGCGCCGGCCCCCAGGTTGCCTGCTCGCTGCCAGGACTCTTGCGCGTGCGCATCGAAGAAGCCCAAACTGCGCTAGGCGGACAGTTTGAGCCTGCGCGCTCAGCCACCCGCCGAGCCAAAGTCCTGCTCGCGCGCCGAGCGCGCGCCTGCGCACTAACCGTCCCCGCCTCCTTTTCCCGCTGACGGAGGGGGCGCGGCCAGAGCGGCGAGCGAGAGGACGCGCGCTGAGTTTGCGCCGCAAGCTGGTTGTGTGCGCTGTGGGACTTGACGCTCTTTCTTTTCCTGTTTGTTTTTGGGGGGGTCCCTGCAGCGGTGAAGTGAGCGATTTGGGGCACAGGAGCCGAGGCTTTCCTCCAGGTAAATCCCGGCCTGCGGGCGGGGGCTTTCCACATGCGTAGAGCGATGGCCTGTTACCCCGGGACTCAGTTTCCCCACCTTAGAAGACAAGCACGTTCCGGAGGTCACGCGGGGAGGTGGCGGGAGGGCGCCGGGTGCTGGGGGAGAAGCCGAGGCTGGAGATTGGTGCGGGATGGGCGATCTTTAAAATGGGGCCGTCGACTAAGCAAGGCTGCCCCCACCTATAGCGTCCGCATCTGTAAAGTGGGCTCGAGGCTCCCCAAGTGTACAAGGGACTGGTGCCTTCTTTCCGCAGCTAGAGTTGGCACTTTGTCAAGTCTGCACATTATTATTTAAAAAAAAATTTTTTTTCCAGAACTGGGGCGCTCACCTCGAGTGTCACGCATGCTAGGCAGGCACCCTGCTCCTGCGCTACATCCCCAGCTCGGCCTGCAAGATGACATCAGGGGCCTCCCGAGCTGAGAATTGGAGACTCCCGCGGTTTGTTCCCCGTCGTCCTGCTGCCCACCTCACGGAGAGTCCTGCGCCGGGGTCCTCACCCCTGGGATACAGCTCTGCGCCACCTGCCCTCAGCTCCCTGGGTCTGACTGGCCTCGGGTCTCTGAAGACCGGGCAGCCTCTCTGTCCTCCCTCTTTTGATTCTAATGAAACTGCAGGATCTGCTCCACACACAGCAGCAGGCTGAGCAAGCTTTTTACAATGGGAACTGAAAACATTTGGTATAAGTGCTAGGGGCACGTGTCTTCCCTGGTTTCCAAAGGGTGTTTAGCTGAGCGGACTGAACTCTACATCTCTCCTTCGGGCTGAGAAAGCCCTGAAGTTGCCTGCCATCGCCCCCCTCACTCTCCTTTTGCACTGCTGTGGTCTTTCTACCCTCGGAGCATGGTCATTCCGGCCTCAGTGTCTTTGCACGTCGGATACCTTGGTTTGGGACTTTTTTTTTTTTTTGAGCTGGGGATTGTACTCGGGACCTTGCCTTTGCAAGGCAGACGGCTGCACTCCTGAGTTAGATCCCAGGCTGGGGACTTCCGGAATTGGGGAGGGAACCTAGGGCCTCCCAGATCTAGGCAAGCATTCTGCCACTGAGCTGCATCCCAGCCCCTTTTATATGTATTTTTTGTGTGTGGAGGGTACCAGGGATCGAACTCAGGACCTTGCGCTTGCAAGGCAGTCGTGGTGCCACTGAGCCAAATCCCTGGCCCTTTACTTTTAAATTTTGAGACGGGGTCTTTCTGAGTTGCTCAGGCTGTTTGAAGTCACAGTTGCCTGCCTCAGCCTCCCGAGTGCAGGTGTACGCTACCACACCTGGCTCTACCAGTTCTTTGAACGGGTTTATTGTTGGAGAAAAATCATAGAAAAGGTTGACCAATCTCAAATCCAGGACACGTGTGGGCATGGCTATCCTTTGTCTGTGCATCTGTCCTGTGCTCGTGTACCCCTTCTGTGACCGTCTCTACCTCTTACCGATAGTGGGGTGTGGTTGGTGTCGTACCATCTGCTTCGGGGTGGGGAGTGGAGAGAGCACTGTCATCGTGTACGAGTGCTTGGCTTGCTGCACGTGTTACTGGTGTTACTCACCGCTCAGATCTGGACGCCCACTTGAGCACTGCTTCATGTCCTTTGCTGATTTCCGTGGTGTGAGAACTTCCTCCACGGCCCGTTCAAGCTGGGGATGTGATACCACCACCCACAGAGCTGGGAAGAGATGTACTGTGCTTGCTTAGCACCCCTGACCCCCCCCCCCCCCGAGCATCTGGTACTTTCTGTGTGGTCTCCAAAATCCCAGGCCCCAAACCAGACCTCAGCCAGAATCTGTATTTTAACAAGGTACCCGGGAACTTCCCATGCGTGTTAGATCTTGAGGTGCGAAAGAGTTCAAGAGCATTTGGCGTGGAACTTTTCTTTGTTCTTATTACA